ACTTGTAACACTTGAACCTCGCCTGCTTTCTGAAGATCATGGGTAAAGAAGAATTTAGGCACAATGTGCTTCGTTATGTCTCCTTTGATGTAGCCGTCTTTGAGCTGTGCTATGCAGGCCGCATTATCTTCATACATCACGAGTTGTGGGTCTCTCCCTTTGGTCATTCCACAAGTAACTCGGACATGATGGTCATGGCCTTTAACCATATGCTTTCACGGCTGGCCTCATGTATAGCCAGTATCTCTGTGTGGTTGGATGAAATGGCCGTCATGGTCTGCTCATTGAACGCCAGGATATTGCTGTACCACCATAAGTATAGACATACTATGTCTGAGATCTACCACAATGAGGGTCTGATAAATAACCTGCATCAGCAAATAAACTAAACCATCTTTAGATTGGTGAGTATATAATAGACTCATGTCTTTCGTTCCTTGTATGTAACGAAGTATATGTTTTATCCCGTTTTAGTGTCTTTGGGTCGGACAAGAGCTGAATCTTGATAGCAAGTTCACGGAAAAACTGATATATGGCCGTGTGTGGCAGGCCAGATACATCAGAGCTCCTATGGCACTAAGATAGGGCATTTCAGGACCAAGGACTTCTTCATTTTCCATCTTTGGACCAAACGGATTGTGTCCGGTTCTAGGCTTCTCACGACCATGGGGCTGATTAATGGGTGAGACTGGTCCATATTAAACTTCTTGAGTATCTTTTATGTATATGCCATTTGATGCACAAGGATTCCATCTTTCATATACTCAAGTTGTAAACCCAAATAAAACTTTGTTTTTCCAAGATCTTTCATCTCAAATTCTTTCTTGAGATATTCATCTGTTTGTGAAATATCTCCAGAGGTTCCTAGGATATTTAGATCATCTACATAGACTGCAATGATCACAAAGCCCTTATTGAACTTCTTTATGAATATACATGGACATATCTTGTCGTTTTGTATCCTTTTTTCACGAGGTACTCACTCAATCTATTGTACCACATTCGACATGATTGTTTCAATCCATAAAGAGCCTTGTTCAGTCTGATACAATGTTGTTCTCGAGAACTCTTTATTTTTCAATTCAATACCAGCTGGGATTTTCACATATATTTCATTATCCAGTGGACCATACAAGTATGCGGTTACAACATCCATTAACCGTAAATCTAGACTTTCCCTCACGGCCATACTTATCAAAAATCTGAAGGTCGTAGCATCCGCCACAGGGAAGTATGTCTCCTCATAATCTATTCCTGGTCTCTGTGAGAATCCTTGTGCAACTAGCCGTGCTTTATATCTCACAACTTCACCTTTCTCATTTCTTTTCCTCACAAAGACCCATTTTTATCCAACTGTTTTTTTGTCATGAGGTGTCTGGATGATTGGTCCAAACACAACTCTCTTTCTCAATGACTCTAACTCCACGTTAATGGCCTCTTTCCATTTCAACCAATCTGGTCGTTGCATGCATTCATATATAGACGTGGGTTCATGATCCTCATTATCCATAAGTTCAAGTGCTACTTCATATGCAAATATATCACCAAGCTCTATCTCTTTACGGTTCCATTGTGTTCCATACGTGATATAATTTATAGAGATCTCATTATTATCTGGAACTTGTGTACCATGAAGCTTAGCATCCCGAGCCCCCATTAATTGGCATATTCGACCCGGCTGGTTCAGTCGACACGGCCGGCCCATCAATGTCCTGGACGGTTCCCATGGTTCCCTCGGATCCAGCACCTTTCTTGGACTTACGAGGGTTCTTATCTTTGGAACCAATTGGTCTACTACGTTTTAATTGTGGTCTAGACTCAGTAGCAACTTGATTGTTTCTCCCTTGGACATAAATTCGTATAGGTACATTTACAGCTAGTATGTATGACTTAGTCACTATGTTTGGATCATCAAAGGAATCTGGCAATTGATTAGCTAGCTTTTGCAAATGTATTATTTTCTAGACTTCTAGATCACAATCTTTAGTTCGAGGATCTTGCCATGTTAAGGATGTTTGATTCCATTTTATATCATGTACCAGCTTACCACTATCTCCCCCCTAATGCTGGATACTGAGATTCATCAAAATGACAATCCGCAAACTTGGCCTTAAACACATCACCCGTGGTTAGCTCAAGGTATTTCATTATAGTGGGAGAATCATATCCAACATATACTCTCATCCTCCTCTGAGGCCCCATCCTAGTTCTCTGTGGTGGTGCTATAGGCACTTGGACGGCACATCTAAACGTTTTTAGATGGGAAATGTAAAACTGCGATGTGCCATCCAAACGTCTTGGACCATGTGGGCTTCCGGGTTCTTTTTCAAATCCTTGAGATAAAGCTCACACAAATGCTTAAGGGTCCGGCAATTCTTGGCCCAGTGATTACCCATACCACATCTGTGGCACAAATCAGATTTGTTTTGTGGTTTAAAAGACGTATTTCTCCCCCTGCCTCGGCCTAGATCACGATTAAAACCGGGTGAGTTCCCGCGGCCTCGTCCTCGCCCATGTGCCTTATAAGTGCCACGGCCTCGTCTAGAACCCTTCCCATGGCCAATGCCGGATTGGTTATTGTGTTGGACGAGGTTACTTTCTTTCTTGGCTTCTAAGGCCGGTTTGGATGATTCGGGTAATGGTGTTGTTCCTGGAGGTCTCATCTCACTGTTCTTCATTAGTAATTCATTATTAGCAGTATATGTGGCAAAACCTCTCTCTATGTACTGTTGTTGCAGTAGTACATTACTCGAATGGAATGTAGAGATGGTTTTATCTAGTAACTCTTTCTCAGTTACTTCTTGGCCACAAAGTTTCAACATTGAAACTATTTTAAATAAGACTGAGTTATATTCATCAACAGACTTATAGTCTTGGAATCTCAAATTCTTCCACTCATATGTACCCTTTGGTAATAGCACCATTTTCTGGTGATCATATCTCCGCTGTAAGGCGGTCCAAAGTTCTAGTGGATTTTCCATAATCAAATACTGGTTTTTTAGACTCTCATTCAGATGGTGGTGGATAAAATAGATTGCTCTATAGTTATCTTTATCACTTGAATTGTTGCCATCGGTGATTGTGTCACCAAGGCTCTTCGATCTCAACATGATCCTTGTATCAAGTGCCCATTCCAAGTAGTTCTCACCAGAGACATTATGGACAACATAGTCTAGATTTTAATAATTATATTATGAAATACTTTTCATAATAACTAAATAAACATTCAAAATATGTAATCAAAAAGATAAGAACATTTCCTAGCTAATGTTATTTTCATTTTAAAATACTACAATATAAAAAAAGATATAGTCAATCTATATTTTTTATGTACTATTTTCCTATAAAATCATATTTTATTTTATTTTATTTTATTTTCAGTGGTCTTTTAACTTTTAAACTTTAATAATGATAACTAAAAAAAATCATTTTAAAATATATAATTTTTACAAAAAAAAAATAGATCACATTTTTCTTTACATAATCCTCTTTTACGAGAATTTTATTTAAAGAAATTTATTTATGTGAACCCCTTGAAAAAAATAAAATTAAATAGAGAGAACTTACTTGGTATAAAATTTAATATTTTGAAAATTTTAGAGGCAGATACTTTGAAATAAAACTAAAAGATAATATCGTTCCTAATAAAAATATTTTCGAAAAATGAAAACAAATAAATATTAATGTGTTTAACTTAAAAAATAAATAATAGTTATTTTTCAAACTTAATATTAATAACAAAAATGAAAATACCACGAAAAAATCACGTTAGCAAACAAATAAATCAAATTTATTGTTATTGCTTATATACTTCTTTTTGGTATTTTAATACTAAAATAAATTTAATATTTTTAAAAAATATACCATAACATATTACGTTTACCAGCAAAAAAATAAATCAATTTGTTTTTGTGAAACTATTTAAATATTTTAGTTGAATGATAAATCTAATTATTATATGTGTATATAGACTAATAATTATAAAAAAATAACAATAATAAATAAAGATGTAGATGAACACAAAATTAATACATGGAATTTTCTTATTTTTAAAACATGTTTATATATTTTTTATATTAATTTCAAAAGATTAATTTATAATAATTTTAATAATGAATTATATTTTTTATAAAAGATATGAAAACTTTAATCAGTAATTAAAAATGTTTATTAAAACTAATGAATCAGTCTAAAATCATGGAAAACATAAAAAATAAGTATATTCATTTTTCAAATAATAATATAAATTTATTTTGAGATAATTTTTATAATATTATTTTTTAATGATTTGATTTACAAATTATATAATTATCTATTAAAGATAACAAAAATTTAATCAGCATAATTATTATTTTTTATTAAAACTAATGATTCAGCCTAAAATCATGGAAAACATGATAAATAACCAAATTTACTTCTCTAATAATATTATATATTATTTAAAATATTGAATTTGTAATTTCAGTAAACTATATACACAATATACAACTCAAATCAATTACATTCATGCATGTAAGTAAACTGTGTTTGATAAATCTAAGTATCAATCCTCGACAAAGCCGAATGAAAAAGTAGTCTTAAATCCCCCAATTTTTTTAAAAAAATCCTACATAGGTATACACACAAAAAATTATAAACTTGAACTTTGTAAGAAAATAAAAAAATTTAGTTGAAAATTTTAATAAATTGCCCAGGATCCACTCAATCTAAAGGCGGATAAAACAAAGATTTGTAAATATTTATATATGCTAATATTTTGATTTTGGAAACAAATAATACAGATATCTCCATACTGTGAATATGGAATTACACACATCATAGTAGCGTAATCAGTTGTTGGTTGTGTATATGTTAACTAATATGAAAATTTATCCCTATATAAATAAACCTTGTTAACACTACCAACATTCACAACCAATAAACAATTTCATCTATACAACTTTTCACTCCCCCTCAAAAAAGTAATGGAGAGCAGAAAAGTTACCATGTTAGTGACAATAATGATAGTTATGATGATGGGAAACCTTTTAGACCAAGCAAAGGCTCAAACAAATTCTTTAGGTCAAAAAGAGGATAAGAAAATCCCTTTTATTCAGTGTTATCCACCTTGTCTTCTAGTGTGCAAGAGTATGCACAAGTTTCCAGCGTTTCTTATATGTCCATTTACATGTCTTAAAACCTGTCTTTTTCCTACTTCACGTACTGATCCATCTCCATCTCCCATCAAAGTAAGTTTGCATTTTTCGAAACTCCTCAAATTCATGAAATTTACTAATGTGTATTTGAATATGTTGCTTGTTAATTGCTTAGTGGTAAACTAATACGCGGATAAAAGTCATATTTAGGTATTTTTATGTCAAAAAAATTTAAAAAAATATTTTAGAAAAATTCTCTTTGATATACCTTATTTTTTTATCACAAATATAGACCTTAAAAATAAAAATAACCAAAATAGAGTTAAATGTTTTATCAAAAATAAGTAAATATACATTTATACCATTTGGGTTAACTAATTCTAGACATTTTTGTTTAGAGTTGAGGAATAAGGTTTTTGGGCTAGGATTTCAAAAAAAAAAAAATTAAAAAAAAACTTAAAATTTTCAACATAAAAGATATTATTTTGGTCATTTTAGGTTTATTTTTGTGATAAAAATTTAAAAGTTCTATTTGAGAGTTTTGTCCTATATTTTATTTATTAATTTTGAAATAAAACTATTTTCCTTAATTTTATGTATATTACATTTTCTAGAAAAAGGAATACTAATTTCAACTTTAAAACTTGTAACTAATGCAAAGTAAAAAGATTACTATAACGTGGACTGGAGGTTAATTACAAAAAAAAAAAAAAAAACTGTAAAAAGTCCCATCT